TATATATATATATATATATATAAGCGTTCAAATAAAAACCGGCCCCATTTGTGTAAACCAATCTCATCCATTCATTTTCTTGATCAATGACCAAAATTAATTTACTTTATTTTTGGAAATTAAATAAAAATATATATTAAAAATTTATTTTATTTAAACAATAAGGGCATAAATGGTAAACAAAATTTAATATTTGGTAACATCCCAGTTGATCTTTCATGAATCTTTTTTCATGCAAAATTATTTTCTTTCTTTCGTTCCTGGTTTGATGCATAAATTTTTTTAAGCCTTGCAATCTTAAAGATTCTAAAGCATATTACAATCTTTAAGATTTTAGAGCAGTTTCTTCATGTACCCGTTTCATCATTCAATTATTTCATGACGAACCAAATACATTATGCAACCGTTTCACTAGTCATGCTCAAAAACGCCATGAACCAGTTTCACTAGTCATGCTCAAGAACGTCATAAACCAGTTTCACTTTCATGAAACCTATTTCATGTACATTAATTTTCTTATTTCACCACTGATTTGATGGATTCATTCCTTTAAGCCTTACAATCTTTAAGATTCTGGAGCATGTTACAATCTTCAAGATTCTGTAGCAGATTAAAATCATTTCCTTCTTTCATCATGCACTTAGTTCATGACGCATCAAATACAAAATGCACCGGTTTCATTTTCCTGTTCACCAACTAAATGGATCAACTACACAATCAATGCAACGGGTTTACCATGAAAATGTTTCGATTTATTTGCAACATAAACCGGTTTCACGTTCATGAAACCTGTTTCATTTCTGGATTTTTTTTTGTTCATCTATGATTTGATGATTTCATTATACACTTCAATTGTTTCATCAAGACCTGTTTGCTGATTCTTAAAGATTACAATATATGAAATTCAAATTTTTAATATTATAATATAATTAAGTATTTAAATGTTACCATTTATACAATTTTCTTTATTACGTTTCTTTAATTAAKATTTATTAATAACTTCCATATTTAATAGAAAATATTGTAAATGACTGAAATACCCTTATTGATTAATTCTATTGGTCGAAATTGGTTTAGACGGTTTCATAGAAATGCACGGTTTTCATTTGAACGTACCCATATATATATATATATATATATATATATATATATAAACCTCAATTATAACAAAAGGAAATTACGTAATCATAAGTAAACAAACTTTTTGTTTTTTAAGAACGAAATAAGTTTGAATAAATAAGGGCCAATTCAATTATGAAAACGAGTTAAGTTTATTTTAATAGAAAAGAAATGAATAAAAATTGAAAAAACAATAAGAATTAAATAAAATCAATGATTAGTCTCGTGGCTCACATGGAGATTATATTATTAATTTGTGAAAAACAAAAAAATAAAAAAAAATCAAAAACTCATTAAAATACGTGTAGATCTACAAATCTTAGTTTTTAATTTCACGGTTTTTGGTCAGAAAGAATCTGTGTATATTTTTTTGACATGAATTAAATCTTTGTTATTAATACGATATAATAATTTCAATTTTAAATTGTTTCCAGAGAATTACATCCGCACATGTGATTTGTTTTTTTTTTCTTTTGGGTTATTAAAATATGGGACGTGATGAGAGGTGTTGTTTTTTAATTAAATTAATATTTATATAAAACCAAAAAATACCACCACATAATCTAAAAAATACAAATCTTGTGGTGTTAGCTTAACTGACAATTAGAATTTTAGGCTATGAGCCCATTGTGGATTTTCTTATATGTTTTCAGAACTTTTAGATCAGTCGAGATGCATACAAACTGATCTAGACATTAACTGTAATTAAAAAATAAAAAGAACTTCATAACTTCGTGTTTCAACTAATTGATAATTAGCAAGTACCATATTATAAATAAATATTTACGAAAAACCAATATATAAATATATATTTTAATATTTGTATGATATGGTGTAACCAACCATTTATTGTTCATATCATCTTGTCTATGGTAGCTCTCCTACCATTGTTAATATATTAAACACTCTCTTTCGCCCATAACTTTTCCCCACATGTTTGGAGTCAAATAAATAAATTACATATAAACGTCGGTTTACATATACATACCTTATTAATTATCGGTTATAAATGAAAATTTTAATGGTTAGCTTATAAGACCATCACTATGTATCCACATATATCTGTGTGTATATATGAGTGACTGTTAGAACCATATGAAAATCAAAACCTTCACGAGCATCGATGCATTTTTAGTTATTTTATATGTTTTGTTTTATCTAAAATTAAACTTCAAGACATTAATTAATATATAATTGTTTCATAATTTAAAAACTTTTTTATACATATATGAAACAAAAAGTACACATAAAAAGGTTAAAAATTGTAACAAAAAACCATATAAATATATTATATGCTCAACGATTTTGTAAAGATCTTGAACAGGACCAACTATGAGTTTTTTTTAATACATGGTATGTATGATGTGTGACGTGTCCATCATTGACTTTGGCTTAAAATGGCCTTAGTTGCATGAATGTTCGACGATTCTTGATCCACTTTAACATGAACCAAAAATAATAAGGAATAATAAATGGCCGTTAAGATTGTTGTGATGGGGAAATTAAGCCATAAAAGAAATAAATATATGATTAAGATCGCAAATAAAAAGAAATAAATATATGAAAAAGTTGTAATGGCGTACGTTAAAATTGTTTAACGGGGAAATTGAACCATGGCCCAACGTCCGCATCAACCCCCAATTACTTCATGTCTCCGGTCTATGTTTAACAATGGCATAAAGTGGCATGACGTCGAGGTCAAAATTCAAGTCTCACAAGTGATATGGCGTGGCATGGCGTAAGGCATGACGTGACTTAAGGTGACAAATCTATAGTATATATGTGTGTTTATATTAGTGTCTTGAACAATAAGTTTTAAGTTATTAACAATTTAAATTCATATAAAACGATAAACAAAAGAAAAATCATGAATTGGTAATTTGATGTCAAATATAAAGAGTTTACGAAAATGATATAATACATACAAAGTAAGTCAATGTTTATGGTTCCTGTTTCATAATCAAAGTAATGGAACTAAAGAACAACAAATGAAAGTAAATGAACGAAGTTTTTCGTATGCTGAGAAGTAATTTAGGGTTTTTTCTTTTTTCTCATTTTGTTGATTAAGTATTTGGCTCGTATGAACTATGAAAATTATATTTACATTTATTATATTCAATTTTTAAAAAAATTGCAAATTCCGCCCATGCCTTATGACGCATATCATTTGTAATGCCATAACAAACTCCACGACTTATATCCATACCAAATTGGTTAACGTCTGCAAGGCTACGCCCACAACGCATTTTTTTAAAACATTAATGCTTAACAATGTAAACAATTTGGTCAAACGAATCAAAGTTGTCCAACCTAGTCGAAGCCGGTTAACGAGGGCCTATGCGACCTTGCAATACTACCTAGGTTAACGGACCCAAGTCGCAGCGACCTCCCATGTGTGTAATCAGTTGGCCTACAACCTCACCTGGCCTCCCTAACGAGACCTCTATTCGATTATTAGCTCGCATTCAATGCTAGGCATTTCAAAAGATGAAATTTATCATAAGAAACATACTTCCATTTTATTTACAATATGTGCACTAAATTTTAGAAACCGTAACTATCATTTGTAGACGAAAAATCATGTAAACAGTAAATTAATGAAGAAATTGGACGCCTTTTTACAATAGCGAGTTTCAAAGTTTAAACGTTAGTTGACGAAAAAAAAAATGCGACAAAAATAGATGCCTGTTTGTGATTTTAGAAGACGGTGGTAATTAAATTATATAAAACGAAGTGAATAAATAAATAAAATAGAAACATAAACGTGCATAACCTTTTAGACTACAATGCATTATAGATCTAGTCGACATCAATCATTTAGTAATTGTTTTTCAACGACAACTTACTTTTTACTGTTTTTTTAAAAACCACTTTTAGTGTAAATCACGGATTTGATCTATATGTTTTTTTGCTCGTTTTCCTCACAACGATTTATTTATTACCAAAAAAGCTTCAGGTAACATGTTTGTTATGAATGATAGGTTGTTTCAAAAGAAATGCATAGAGTACCGTTACCTAATTAAATCAGTAGAACGGAATAAATTGAAATTGACCGGTTAAGCATGTGTGTTAAGTCTTGGTTTCAAACCCGAACGAAACAAGTCAAACGATAACATTCAATTTAAAAGACATGTACAAGGTGTCATAATATTTGAGATGTTAGGCATAAAATTCAAGAAAAATTAACCACAAGGGTGGTGCCTGATTGGTTTGAACTTGGCTCCAAAGGTCAGAAGTATCACGAGGTCTCGGGTTCAAATCTAAGGAGGGATAAAAATTCCCTTGTGGCCACAGAGGTTCAAATGCGGTGACTCTGGGCTATCTGTAAAGCAGGTGGTCGTTCTGGGATTAGTCGGTTCGTATAGCGGGTTGGATATCGAGGTTAGTTAAAAAAAAAATTCAAGAAAAATAGTGAATAAGTGTATACACCAATGAATTTTTATTATTAAGTTATTTTTAATACATAGAAAATTACAAGGAGCAAAATTCAGATGTAAATTAAAGTAGAGCATGATTGATTACATGATTGCATCTCCATCTCCATCACCATCTTGGAGCAGAAGCCAGCACTCATCATATAGCTTCTCAAGCATCTCACTTTCATCATCTTTCAACATTAGTAAATCAAAGCCGTCCATATTCAGACCATCAACACTTGATGCACCCTCCATGTCAAACAGCTCCGGCCACCGGAAGTCCGTCGTTACAGGATCAGCTTCAAATGTGCAGCTTGATGATTCACCACTCGAAGCTCCATTATCAAAACTCGTACTCTTTCTTAAACTCAAAGATGAAGTGGATGAAGCAGGCTGATCAGGAACAATTTCGACAGCTCTCTCTGCAACTTCCAACACTTTGGTTTTTGACTTGTTATGTACCTTCTTTTTGGGTTTTTTAATTCTTTTGGGGACTTCCGGCTGGAGCACTTTCTCTTTAAGATGCGAGTTCCAGTGGTTCTTGATCTCATTGTCGGTTCGACCCGCGAGTTCGGTGGCTATGAATGACCATCGGCTGCCATGGATAGAATGGAGACGAATGATGGTTTCATTCTCATCGGCGGTGAAGTTTCCTCTCTTGATACCTGGCCGGAGATAATTCATCCATCTCAGCCTGCAACTTTTTCCACATCTAAGCAATCCTGGATCCATAACAAGCTACCATTAATTAATTATATATAAACACATCAAGATACCATTATATATATATATATATGTATACATACCGGCTTTGGAGGGCATGGAACGCCATTGACCTTCACCGTGGGTTTGAATGTAGTTGGTAAGAAGTTTATCTTCTTCATCAGACCATGCTCCTCTGTGTAAACCGACCTTGGAACAACAAGGAGCTCTTCCCATTTTTGCACAACACAACACACACTCGAGTGTGTGTTTTCTTGGAGTACCGAGAAGGGTTGGAAAGAGAACATGCTCTTGGTGACCTTTTAAATGGCTTTTTGTCATAAGTTGCACGTTTCTTTTGGAATTCAAAGTCTTTCCTCAAATTTACACGATATCTACCCTTCAATAATATGGTTTCGCGCTACTGTAAAAGTGAAAGTGACGGTCAAAATAAAAAAAATAGAATTTCAATTATTGGATCATTCATAATCGAAAACAACCATTTGATCAAATACATAATTAAAGGGATTTTTCAAACATGGAAAATTGCATCAAAATGGAACCAACTTTCACCTGATTCTTATTTTAGGGAAACTTTTAAAATCGTCGTTTAAGGATCTCTATCAAACTTTTTGTTTATTTAAGGGTTTGGGGTTGATTTGTTGACCTGTTAATGCTGACATCATCTAGATCTTTTGCCAACTAAAATATTCCACGTCATATTAACCTTTTATTTTAAAACTAATATTTCACGTCATATTTAAAATTGCAAAATAATTATAAAAAAATAACTAATTTTTTTTAAATTATTGCAATAAAATCTATTTTTCATTCCGAATATTTTTTTTTTATTTAAAATTCAGATGTCAAATTGAAATTTTTTTCAAAAAAAAATCCAAATTACCAAAAAAAAAATTGTTTTTACTAATACAATAAAAAATTAATTTAATAGAAAAAAATTAGTAAAATAAATTAAATTTTTATTGCATTAGTAAATAACGATTTTTATTTTGGTAATTTGGACTTTTTTTTAAACAACTTTCAATTTAATATCTGAATTTTAGATTTAAAAAAGAGATTTGGAATGAAAAATAGGTTTTATTGCAATAATTTTTGAAAAAAAAAGAATTTAGTTATTTTTTTATAATTATTTTGCAATTTTAAATATGACGTAGTTAATTTTAAAATAAAAAATTAACATGACATGGAATATCTTAGTTGACAAAAGATCTGGTTGATGTCAGCATTAACAGGTCAATCAGACCCTTAAATAATTAAAAAGTTTGATAGAGACCCTTAAATGACGATTTTGAAAGTTGGTTCTTCAAAATAGGAATCAAGTGAAAGTTGGTTCTATTTTGGTGCAATTTTCCCTTTCAAATATAAACACTTTAATTAGTATAAATCATACAAACCAATCAATTAAGATATTTATGAAAATAATGAGTGTTTGTTTACTATGATTTGGATATTTCTAAAAAATTATCAGAATTCATTTATTATGTTTAATATTTTATATTAGAAAATAATCGAGTTATTAATGAAATCATTTCACTAAATGGACAATTAATATTACTTTTTATAATTTATATTAGTTAGAAGGTATGTATTTAAAATTCCGCCTTGCATAAATAAATAAGGGGCTGTTTGGTAGTTGCTGAATGATTTTGTCCAGAATGGTTAAGAGGGTCATAATGGTTAAATGCTGAATGAAATATGGTTGTTTGGTAAATGTTATCTGAATGACAACAAATTATCATTTTAACCCTCTGTATGATTTAAACTGAATGAAATATAGCTGTTGGCAGACATCTGAATAAAACAATTGCTTTGTAAATGYMACTAYATATTTCATATTAATCCAAACAAACATAACATAAACAAAAACATAACAATCAAATTCCAATATAATAGTTTTTGAACAATTCACATAAGATGTTGCACATAAAGTTTACGAACCATAAACTAATAGGCAATAAACAGTAAAATTATACATGTTTAACCTTGACATCCCTCCTCTCAAATGCTATTTCACTTCACCATACATGGGAGGCGATGGGAAGGAAGGGCTGTGTAGAGAGGGCAAACTTGAAAAAAATAAATCTGAATGGTTTAATGAAGGTTTGGACACAAAATGGTTAAGAGGGTTATGTAACCATTAAAAGACTTATTTTTTTTTGCCCAAACACTCCTTACCTCTTACCGATTAAGAGGTGTCACCATTAAGAGCCAAACAAATAGCCCCTAAGGCTAATTTTATCCGTATCACCTTCTATTTTAACCTTTTTTTTCACACCCTTACACTAAAAAAAACACTAAAAACAATGCATCTTATTTTTCATTTTTAACCATTTTTTATATTTTCTGTTTTAACCTAAAACCTTTTTAATTTATTAACTTTAAACCATTTAATATTTATCTGCACCCTTTAAACTTTAGTTTTCTATTTGATATTCTATTGATATTAATTAATAGCATATTATTGTTAATCAATAA